TAACTCAAATTAACATCGTGTTCGACTTCCTAGGCGGTCACCATAAGTCACTCCAAGACCAAATGACAAAAATAGTTGAGGACAAAGGACAATCAGAATACCTTGTTCAGAAATGCCAGAAATGGATTATTTGTCAAAACAATGACATTGTGAAAAAATTCTACTCATACATTTAGACGGTGATACTGTCCACAAAGAAACAACAAAGCCTAGGCTACCAGCCCGCCTTGTTGTTATAGCTATTACACATTGAGAAACCAAATAAAGATACCATAATAATAATAATATATACCCTGGACAATTAATGTTCTATTACCAATGTAATGAATAGCATGCCATTGCCACAGCCAAGATCCAACATAGAGGAGTTGGAAGAGATCTGTGGGGATTTCTTGATCCACTTTACAATCCTGTTCATATTTACTTCACCAAACCTGCAAGGACAAAAATCATTAGGGCATCATAAGCTGCACGGGTTGACGTGAAGTGCAATTGTTATATTGGTAAATTATTTTCACTGTTTTCTCGCTTTCTTATTGGACGATTTGGTGTCACGTGTCCGGAGCTAAAATCAACTGTTGATTGATCGGTCAACAGTTTGACGATTGTTGACCRCTTGGCCATTGGCAGGAAAAGGCCGCCTCGCGTCGAGTAAAAGTTTGTAAAGGCGGGAATGGTTTTTGCTGCTTTCAACTGTTTACAAAATGGAGCCGGCATCAAAACAGATTTTCAAATCTTAGTCAATAAATAGACGAAATGGTTGTCAAAAAAGACTTGGAAAACACTAACAAAGGCTGCAAAGACTGCTTTGGCTACGACTCTGATAAAATTATGCAGAGAAACCAAGAGAGAAACAGTGAATTTGGACAAATGTCACGTTAAATTTCTATTCAGGAACTCATTGACTGTTTCATACCGAGGGAAACATTGAGATTCGAGCGAAACAAAAACTAACCGTTTCCCGGGGAACAGTCATTAAGTGTATAATGCTGACTTTTTTTCTTTTTTTGATTGTGCGGTATTAACATGTCTTTGATAAAGCCTCAAAACCCTGGAAATGACATTTCGGAGAGTTAAGATTTCAAAAATATCYGAACTCCCTAGTACCTCCTCGCTGCTAGCCCCCCCAAACAAATTCACGCTCCGCGGTCCCTGAGTATGTAAAAGTTTGAATATCATTGTGAATGAATAACAAAGACAAGTTTTATGATATACAGTTTCCTTAAGCCTAAGTTTRCACAGCAGACTGTGTCTAGTTTATGCTATAATACTCATTAAATACGTGCATATAAAACAGATTTCAACCCCCCTGCACGATACGTAATACATTTAACTTATTAGCAAAATTTATAACACCTACCAAATTTCTCCAACATCACCAGAATCTTTGTAAGTCTGTAGGTCTTCTTTGTACGTATTGTCCCAGCTGCAAAATACATAGATCTGATCACGAATACATGGAGTACTAATCGTTAGCAATGAGTGTACCAAATAAAATAATATTCGACATCAATTTCAATTCGAGAGAAGTCTCATATACAAATTCTGAACCGGCTGAGAAAATACGGTTGTATAGTACCAGAAAACTATTTTATTTGATAGTAGAAGCTTAGGATTAAGCTATCATGAGATAGCTGTTTCAATGAATTGTAAATCTTTGGAATACTCACTATTCTTTTGTACCAAGTTGAGATGGGTTTAATTCCTCCTCTTCGTCCGCCATTTTTGAAAATGTGAGCCTGCGATCCTTTCCGTGACACAGGAAATCCGTAAAAATACCACAGGCAACCCAATTAGAAATAACCAAACCATGTTTTAATTTGGTTTTATAAATCATTTGCTTGGTTATCAGAACGTTGTCTTATTTAAAATATTATCATTTTTGCCAACAGTGCTGCTACCGAAACCGATGCTACCTAGAGAATATGAAATCTCACAATACTCCAGTTTCGAATTCATAGCGAATAACCGCTGCTTTATTTGACAACAGATTCTATTGCGCAAAGACCTTACAAACACAAAAGAGAGCACGAGAAAATGTCGTTATTACAATAGACTTGAAAATTTGCATTTTCCCCGAGTTGAGATTATCCCTGTATTCCCATAAGACCTAAGGTATGAGCAGGGTTAGCCTCAACTCGGGGAAAATGTAGATTCTTAGCGCTCTATTGTATTAACAACATTTTCTCGTGCTTTCTTTTGTCTTTGGTAAGTTCTTTGCGTAATAGAATCTGCTGTCAAGTAAAACAGCGGTTATTCGCTTTGAATTCGAAACTGGAGTATT